CCCTCAGCAGTGTACTTCGTAGATCTGCCTGTTCTGCTCCCCTCTCTGTCTCTGGTGAATCCGCTCACCCTCCACATCTCTGGCCTGTACCCCAGTTCCATATGAATAAATAAATAAATCTGTAAAAAAAAAATTGAGGATTACTGTTTGTTTCCTATTCAGTGAGGTGTTTTTTAGTGTAGTCAATTTAAAATTACATATTACATGTTCTTTTTCACATTCCATTCAGATATTTAATTTGCATATATCTTGGTACCAATTAGGAAGTTGATTCATTTAATGAAATATAATTGAATATTAATGATACCTCAAGATTGTGTTTACTGTTTCAGGTGCCTATTTCCAGTGTAGCTGGACTTTAATACTACATATTATAAAGTGACAAAAATTTTACAAAGTGAATTTCTTCTGTCATTAGTATTTTGTTTTTTTCTCAGTTGCTTTATAATAGCTCTTTTCATTTATATTTAAATCTACTTTTAAAATATAATTTCGTGCCATAGGCATAATTAACAGCTGCACATATTTAATACAGCCTTTGGCTATTGAATGTGACCTTTTACTAAATTGATCATAGACATCAAAAGAGCTAAGAATATTAAATTATTATGTTTCATCTATTTTGAGTTCATATATTATAGAAGTCACCAAGCGTTTGTTAGCTTTAAAAAACCAGAGGACAAAGAACAAACACATTAGGTTATTTGTGGCTTTTGATTTGTAATTTTGGATCAGCCTAAGATAGTTCTTTAAATACTTCCTCGTATAAAAGCTAATTTACAAAAGTGAGCTAGACTCTAAAATCTAGTAATCCAGAATTTAGTGAACATAAAGTTGCAAAAGGAATGCTAAATACTATAATTATATTACAACATCATTTATAGTTTTTAAAGAACATTATAGTAAAACGGAAGTAGAATTTTTTTTAATGATTTTTAAATAATATCAAGTTTCTGGAGGGAAAATACTTTCTGCTTTCTTATATGTAAACCAAATCTTATAAATAGGGGTGTATTTATTCAATTGGCATATTTTTTTTTATTTCTCATGATAATTAAAAAAAAACAGTATTATCTCAATTAATGAAATGTCTCTTCAAAAGAAAAAATTTCAGCCAAGTGAGGTTATACATCAGGAGTGGCCATATACTAAAACAATTCTACTCTAAAACAATTCTGCTAGTCTTTTTTTTAAATAATCATGCTACTGTTTATATGTGTGTGTGTGTATATATTTCTAAAAATTAATTAAAAGGCATTTTAGGGCCCTCCCT